CTCGACGTCGAGATGATCAATTAGATAATTTTCTAACATCAAAACACCGTATATTACAAGATGTACCATTTTGAGACTTTAAATCATTTTGTCTATATCCGTACATCCCGATGTCAAGATGATCAATCAGATGATCTTCCAATATCAAAACACCATTTTCTCATATATTTTTGAGGTGCACCTTAATTCTATACTATTGAGTGTCAACCTTCTATAAATTTTTTTCCATTAAGAGGATAAATATTTGTGGTAAGGGATTATTTATAAAAGGAAATGTTTATATAAGGTTGCAACATTAAAATATAGAACCACATATGCACCTTAAAAATCCATCATAAAAGGTTATTTTAATGTTGAAAAATCCTCTAATTGATCATCTCGACATAGAGATGTATGATTATGAAAAACAAAAGTATTTTGAATCTTAAAAATAATGCATCTTACAACACATTATCTAGACCATCTATTTGCAAGATTTTTACATATTTATAGATCTATTTGATTTTGATCATTTTTAAAATTTAAAATTTTATAATTATATATGAAAATAGATTTTAAGATAATCCTAAGAATATTTTACATCAAAATTATATGTTATGATAATATTTGAGTGAGCACTTTAATTGGATTGTTTAAAGTTGCAACTTATTATAAAAAAAACCTTCTGTCTTTGGGATATACTTATATAGAGCCGAGGCTCTAAACAATCAAATTTGAGCCTACCTAAAAAGTTTCACTAGAAGTGGTTGTTTTGATGTCCAAATATCTTTAAATTGATCATCTCGACATCAAGATGCATGGACATGAGAAAAAATAGATTTCAAGTTTTAGAAATAATGTATTTTGTAATGTATTTTTGGACCGTCAATTTTCAAGTTTACAAGTTTTCATAGATTTATCAATCTACACTATTTTTTAAGCTTTAAACTTCATAAATAAAGATGAAAACATCTTTTAAGGTTACGACAAATATTTTCAACATTAAAACAACATTTCTAAACACTATTTAAAGGTAGGTTCGAATTTGATTGTTACAAACCGCAACCTTTTTATCTATTGAATATTGAGGTTATAATTATTCTCATCCATTAAATGCGAGCGAAATCCGATAGCTTGGAATAAATAAAAGAATTCGTTTTTTTTAAAAAAACTGTGCGTCCATTTAATGGCTCTCTCAAAACCGGTCATTTTGAAATTCGAATGCACTGGAAAGACAGTGACTTGTGCGTAGGAAGGACAATTGCTCACCATGTGAAGACAAGGCAAAGCATCGTAAAACCTCTCTCTAACGCAGGGTCACACTTTCTCTCTCTAAAGCAAAGGAATAAGACACTTTTATCTCTCTGAAGCAGATAAATAAGAAAAACAAAATACAGCTAGACATAGGCGGCTGGGATCGTTGGTCCGCCTGCATATTCTTCACGTTTCATTCCTTGTAGACAGAGAAAGAGATAGAGAGAGAGAGGTTGATAAGCCATGATCAAGGCTTGTCTGAAATCCAATGAAAGTTTGCAGAAAATTAATGAGTAGAAATTAGTGGGGTATAAAGAGGAAGCAGCCCTGACCTACTATTGCCTGCGTATAGCTACTGCTGCATTATTAATTATTCCTCATTAATAATACCTCTTGAGTTTCATTAAGCTTTCTCTCTCTCTTGTATGGTAGGAGAGTCAACGGATCACAGGTATCTGATCACTTCCTCCATTAAAGAGGAAAGAAGAGGAAAGAAGAGGAAGAAGCAAGTGGAATTCGGTGGTGAGAGAGAGAATTGGGGTGGGTAGAAAAGACACTGCGTTTAGAGAGAGAGGTTGGGTTTTGTAGTAAAAGGATTCAACTTTTAGAGAGAGAGAGAGAGAAATTGAATTTGAGAGAGAGAGAGAGAGAGAGAGAGAGAGAGAGAGAGAGAGAGAGAGAGTAGTAG